CTACATCTGAGCAGAGGTTTTAGGTTATATCCATACATGGTCCTTGCCGGTTGTGGTGGCGCACATTGGTAGGATTTGCTGAAGGAGGCAGAGGCAGGAGGATCACGAGTTTTCCTAACTCTTAGCAAGTGCATCAGATAGAGGAAGTGAGGCACGCTTGGGAGAAATACACCCAACAGGATAATATATGATTGCTCAGGTTTTTCCTACGGCTTCTTTAACAGCCTACCCTTGTTTATTTATTTACTTTTTATAGAGACAGTGTCTAGTGAAGTCCAGGCTGGCTATGACCTTGCTCTCCAGTCCTTCTACCTCCATTTCTGAAGTGCTGGGATTACAGGCATGGACCACCACACTTTGTTTATACACTGCTGTGTGTTGAACTCAGGATTTCATGGATGATAAACAAGCCCTACACTATTTGAGCTCTGTCCTTAGCTGGTCTTCTTTTTAATCTTTTTTGGTTTTGTTTCATAGACAGTAATACTAAGCTAAAACACTGTAAAAAATAAAAATGAAAATAAAACTGAGCAACACTGAAAAGATTAAAATTAGGAAACTTCTAGAAATAGTCATAAACAAACAAAGCTAAACAGAAAATATAAATGAAACTGTGGAGTACCACTAGGCCAGAATTAACAGTTTTCTGCATGGGAATGTTTAGAGAATTTCTCCTTTGAAGTGAGAAAAATTCACTGTGGTTATTTAATTCAAATAAATAGCTGTTGAATTAGCTGTTACTGATCAGTAACTACTAACTGGAGAAGAAAAAAAGTTTATCTTTGTGTTTAGGTGAGGATTTGAAAGCATTTCTGACACTTCAGATTTATAAGAAGGCGTGACATCACTTATGGAAGGAATATGGACAGCCATGCGAGACTGACCTTCTTACCACTGTGGATTTGCTACGGATGCACATAGTCACTTGTTATTAATATTGCTGGCCGGACAATGGACGCAGACAAGTGTTCTTTGGAAACATGAGCAATCAAATTATGAGATACTCTTAACTAGTTTTTCTTTCTACTTTTTTAAATTTAATTTAATTTTTCTATTATTAGTTACATTTTATTATCTCTGTATCTCAGCTGTATCCCGCTCTTTTATTCCCTCCCAATCCCACCCTCCTTCCCTCATCTTCTCCCTGCCCTTTTCCAAGTCCACTGCTTGGGGAGGACCTCCTTCCCTTTCATCTGACCCTGTTTTATCAGGTATCTTCTGGACTGGCTGCAAAGTCCTCCTCTGTTGCCTAGCAGGACTGCTCCTCCCTTGGGGGGTAGGGAGGTCAAAGAGCCTGCCATTGAGTTCCTGTCAGAAATAGTCCCTGTTCCCCTTACTATGGGAAACCAATTGGTTACTGAGTTACCACGGGCTTCATCCAAGCAAAGGTTCTAGGTTATATCCATACATGGTCCTTGGTGGAGTGTCAGTCTCAGAAAAGACCCCTGTGCCCAGATATATATGGTCCTTGTGGAGGTCATATCCTTTCCATGTCATACTAACTCCCCTTCTGCCAAATGTTTGGTTATGAGTCTTAGTATATGTTTTGAAATGCTGCTTGGTAGAGTCTTTCAGATGCCTTCTGCAGTAGACTCCTGTCATATGTCCAATGCACATCCCATTTGTCTTTCTAAGTGAGGATTGATCATCTTATCCCGTGTCCTCTTTCTTGTTAATCTTCTTTAGGAGTATAGATTTCATTATGTTTATCATATCTTGTAGGTCTATATAAGTGAGTATATACCATGTCTGTCTTTCTCCTTCTAGGATACTTCACTCAGAATGATCTTTTCTAGATCCCACCATTTGCCTGCAAATTTCATGATTTCCTCGTTTTTAATTGCTGAGTAGTATTCCATTGTGTAAAAATACCACAATTTCTGTATCCATTCCTCCCTTGATGGACATCTGAGTTCCTGATCAAAAGTAATAACCAACTAGTAAAAATTAACTCTGGTCTTGTATTTGCCTTATGCCCAGAAGCTTCAGGAGTAAGGCACAATCTCTTTCCTTCTAAGATACCATTCTCATGAAAACACTGAAAAACCTGGGCCCAACTTCTCGGTCAACAAGATGGCATGGAGATAGCAGCCCAGTGCCACTCTTCATAGTGAGCACTGGAAGAGAAAAGGTCAGAATGACCACATGATGTAGCTGGAACTCTGACTTTAGGACATGGCACCCCCCAGTTCATGGCTTTCTCTTTCATTTCTCTCCCCAGTGTCGGGAATCAACGCCATTTTCTACCTGAAGACTCTAGCAAGATGCTAATTAAGGAAATGATTAGGCTAAGCCTCCTTTGCTCTTTGAGCTGTTGGGAGCATTATCATGGAGAAAACTGCCTGAGCTGTTAATAAATGATTAACAATGCACAGGGAATAACCCTTTAAGAACACAAAACTGAGAAGTGTCTAAAACACCTGTTAACATACGAATTCTGAGTTTTGACAAAACCCAAGTCAAAACAAGTTTCTTGGCCTTTGTTGTGTTCAGTGTCTCTGAGCACGATTCCTTCAAATGCAAAATGAGAATGCTGGCATGTCAGTCATCATCTGTTGGTTTGTTAGAAGATTAAATACTGTGATTTGGGCAGAACATTTGGCAGAATGCCTGGAAGAGAGGAGTGCTCTGAACAGATATCCTTTTCCCTTCCCTCTTAACCCTGCCTAAAAATTCTCTGAGGATCCCTTTGTTGATGACACGTCTTTGGCTGGAGATTGAATTGGGATAGGAGGCAAGGCCAGTCCCTAAAAGCATCAGGAACCAGCGAAAGAATGAAAATCTCAGCCAATGATCCCTGTTCGTTGCTTCTGTGTCACATAGATTCACTGTGTTTTTAAAAGACAAGTTTGGCTTTCATTTTGCTTGAGTTCTTCTGTTAGCTTCTTGGTGTGTTTACAAGGGCAGGTTTCCTCACTCCACTAACAAAAATGTTAATTGATGTGTTTCCTTGCTGATGTAAGCCTCTCCCGAACATTATCCTATCTGTCCAGCCTTCAAGTTCAGCTATGGAGTTAGGAAATTTTTCTTTCTCATTAACTGGATTTTAACAAATGTGTCAATTAGAATGAAACAAAAGCAGAACACATAAGTATGTAAGTACAACGTGATACTGGATCCCTCACTTTGCACTCAGCGTTCTTGGGCTGATGTATAGACAACATACTTTTACCATTGCATATTTGGGAAAAAAAAAAAAAAGCACTGAGTGCATTTCTTAGCAGCAATAGACTTTCCAGTTAGTGAATCATGGGCTCACATTAGTGCATTAGTGCTTTTATTTATGTGTTTGTTTTCTTTCTCAGTGAGCTTATATTTATTCCCCTAATATTATGGATGGAAATTGGAGTGAGATGCATTTGTATGTCAGAACTGTAGCACAGATGATGTGTAGTCATGGCCTAAAATCGACTTTAGTTTAATTTCCTGTGTTCTCCGCAATGAGTAAGGGCCTATGCTGAGAGTCAGGCAGAGTTGTTAAAATATGGCAAACATCCATGTATGAATGAAAATGCGCCCATGAGAAGGCTTTGACATATCTGGAAATTCATAAGAATTGGGGGCTTGTAAAGAGGTTATTGTGCATAGTAGATGGAGTAGCAGGTCTGCAAATATGGAGGGGAGGAGCGAAATTAGAGCTCTGTTTGTGCGAATCAATTCCGTTACCCGGTTTAGTGGGAATCAAGCGTAGGAAGATCACTCCTGCCTGAAGATAGCCCAAAGCTGGGAATCAGGAACAGTGCTCCTGGCACCTCTGCAGGTAGACAAGGCAGGACCTTGGCTGAATATAAATGTTCTGTTACTATATATGAATTTCCTTCAAAGGTTTCCAGGTCGGTGGCTAAGACTTCTGAGAGAAGCTAGACTTGCCAATGCACAGTAATTACATTTTTGATTTTATTGATCTAATAATACTCATGAGAAAGACGCCCCAGCCAGGTTCTCCCAGTAGAGTGGAGGGACCACACATGAAGGGAGGTGTAAGAGTGGCAGCAGCTGTGCAGGCAACACACCAAGGGACACTTGGAGGCCTGACACGATCCACAGGGAGGTTATGTAGGTTGGTCAGGTCACACAGCCTGCAAACGCTAAGTGTGGCATCTCAAACCGCGAGCCTGTCTCCAACAACTCTTCTTCTACCGCCAAATCCCACATGTAGCTGGCACAGAGAAGGAGCTCACTAAGAGTTTGCTCATTCGGGCTCCATCACCAAAACATGGAAAATTACTGAGTTTAATATTATGGATTTAATTGATTGATTGTTTTCAAAAGCAAAGTGAAAGATATTCATAAGCACACCGAAGTAAGTACTCTAAAATCTAAAATGATCAAAGCATGGTATGATGAGTTATTACATTTTCTGATTAACCTGGCAAACAGCTTCACATTTCCTATGTCTCTATTCCAGGAGGAAATTAAATTTCTGGGAAGTTTTGTGGCCGGCTCTGAGCTACAGAGCTGACAGCTGGGTAGGTGTCTTTAGACCCTACCTGTGATTGTTAAGCCCATGGCTGTCTAACCTGCATCCCTCAGGCTTCCTGTATCCCAGGATAACTACGAATACAGCACAGCACATTTGTAAGTGACAACATCATCATGTCACAATGTCACAAGACTGGACAGCCCTGACAGTTCTTTATAGAGAGATATATTGTTGCCTATTCCCAGGGGACCAGATTGGTACCCACAATGGTCCCTTCAAGTTGTTAACTTGAAGTTGTTAACTATTCAGATTGAAAAGGTTGTATTTCTTTTGTTTTTCCCTTCATCTAGGTGACAGGTGAAGAACAATTCTCATTGATTATTATGCTTAATTATTCCAGTTAATAACGCTGAGAAGCAAAGAAGACTAGCCACTAAAATGAAGAAAATAGTTGGAATACAATGCCTAGACAAGCTCAAAGTATTACCGTTGGTTTAGCTTTGAACCAGAGCATTAATAGTATCAAAGGACATGGAAGCCCAAGTTATGTGCCAGTCTGTGCTTTTGGCTTCCTTACCTTGGTGCGGACGATGAGGGGGAGCGGTAATAAAACCAACACACTGAGAACCACGAGGAGAAGGCGGCGATAGACCAGAGCGTAATTGAGAAGTTTCATTGTCTTGAGCAGGAGCCTTCGACAGTGCTGTCTCCACACTCAGGCAGATGTTAAATAACCAGCCTGGATTAATATTTTTCTATCTCAGCATCTTTACTTACTGCTGCACCCAAACCAACATTAGTTAAAATTAAATCTCCTTTTTATTGTTTTATTATCACAATTAAAAGAGAGATAAGCCTAAGAGTGCCTGAATCCTCGGAGAACATTTGCTTATGTGGTTTGTAAAAAGTAACATGGGTTCTTTTGTTTGTTTGTTTGTTTGTTTGTTTGTTTTCTTTCTTAGTACACAATCACTGGTCTACAGCCTGCAGAGACCAGGGGAAGGTACAACGGTGAAGTTCGCTGAGCTCATGCACACTTAATCCTCTCTGCGTCTTTTGATGACCCCTGGCTTCTTCTAACTGGAGTTGTCACCATTGTTGGGCTACCTTCAGTGTTTCTCCACAGACTGCCTCCAGAGCCCTGTCAAAGAAGTATACTCAGTGTCTAAGTTGAAATAGCAGTTCCAGCAGCATGGATTTCAGAGCAGGGGCGTGGGTAAAGGAAAGCATGCTCAGTGTTGATGGTTTCCATGGGGCCTCTTGGCTCACGTACTGAGACAGCACTCTGGAAAACTGATGGCAATTTTTCCTTTTACTTTGAGAAAGCAAAATACTCTGTGTCTTGTAGAGATCTTAATACCTTTTTGGGAAGGAACCAAAAGTAAACCTTATATAAACCCTCTCCTTTAAGACCTTTTATGGGTTTGAACTGATGTTATTGCCCTGATAGTAGCTACACAACTATCAAGGAAACTCTATGGAGATAACTCGTAGGGTCATTCCAGCGGTGTGCGTGCTCGTGCTCCCACATGTGCATGTATGCACAGATGAAAACTGTCAGAGCATGAAATAGAGGGTATGATAGGGGTTGTCTGGTGAGTTTTAAGTTGTGAATTAATTATCCACAAAAGCTCAGCTAAGCAAAGGTGCACTCAGGCTTAGATAATAACGAAGTGCTTCCCCGGAGCTCCTGTAATTTATACCAAATATCTCCTGACGCAGATTTCACTCTTACATAACGTACAGTTATCACTTACACCTGACTTCTCACTCCATATTAGTGCTGATTCAGCTTTATTATTCTGGCAAGGAAAAATATTCTTTCCAATAGCAATCTCTGTGTTGATGTTTTCCCCTCTAAAATGATAAATTTCCAGGCAAATTACGCACAGTGATTCAGGGAAACCAGAGGTGTAAACAACAACAAAGAAAGTTTCTGAATAAGAATGGTGCATTATATTAAAAAAAGATTTCACAGATGAAAGAAAAGGCCATTGCCCTCTGAATATGATAGTGATATAACAGCGAGTACCACAGAGTGGCAGTTATAGAGAGCATTAAGAACAGATTAAAGGAGCTGACTTGCTCAGTCATATTTATTTTTTCTCTACTAATATCCTGAATAGTTTAACACATGCGTTCCCTTTTTTTCTAGTTTTTGAAAGAAAACTCTTGTGTTCTCAGATTTCCTTAGGCCACCTGGTGCGACCATTTGAACTCCACTTTCCCATCTCAGAGGATATTATTTCGTGAAATGATACTGAAAAAAAAATGAAAAGGCATTTGTGTGTCATTTAACGGGAATGAAGACCTCTGCATAGTGTGGAGGAGATGGCATGTCAGTCAGACAGAGGCTAACGTGGATGCTTGCCCACACTCGCTCTCTGCTGGAGACAGTTTTTCCTCATAGGAAGGTTCTCAGGACCCTCACTCTGTGGCAGGAAACTACAGCTAGACCAGTCCTCTGTGGGTGTCCACACAAAAAGTTTCAGCCCATAATTCCAAATGTCCATGCTCTGCTTTACCTCAGCACACAGCCATTCCCCTAACTCTTGGCCACGCTCCCTCGCTGTCACAGAGAGAAAGGATCTGACGAAGTAAATCCCTTTAAGCACCACAGGATAGAAGGAGATAAATGTCACTCAGGAGTTACCAGGGAATGGAGCACCAAGCTATTTGGAGTTTCTAGAGAACACATCTCAAGAGACTCTGCAAATTGCACCCTGTTGTTAGCCAGTTTCAAGCCAAAGACAGGTTAGTTCGCTGTGTCAAATTTTAAATGATTCTTATGCAGAGAAACCTAAACCTCTAGTGACTTACTGTAGCTGAGTTATTTTAATATATAACAGTTGTGTTGTGTATAAATTAAGTTGAAACATGAGGTGACTGTTATAACAACTGGTAAATAGTTAATTTAAAACACATTCTGTTCAAATATGAAAACAAAATTGCTAATACCGTTGCCTCGTACACTATCTTCTATTCTGCACCAGGGACTTTACAATCTCTACCCCATTTCATTTTCAAAACCTAATATAACCTGGGCATGTGGACAGGCCTATAAATGCAGCTACTCAAGAGACTCAGGCAGGAGGATTGTAAGTTCAAGGTCATTCTGAGCTACAGAGTGATCATAAGACAATTTAGTGAGACCCTGTCTCCATACAGAAAAGAATAAAGTGGGGATGGACATCGATAATAGCAGTGGCAGAGCCCTTGCCTAGCTGTCCGCAAGTACAAAAATTCAAGTCATGAACGTTAGTATTGTTATTTGCTATTATTACTTCCAGTTGTATTTTGTGGAAATTCATATTCAAAGAGGTCAGATAAAATATGCCAGGAATTAACTGATTAAATAATTAATTAATTATTACTAATTAAGTTTAGTAATAACTTAAATCCATCTCTTTCTGAGTTGGAAATAGAAATGTTCTTTTCTTTTTCTTTTATCTATGCTGTATGTCTAAAATATTGACTACTGTTCAGCTCATTAACAAACATTGACTCTGTCTGTTTTTTTGTTAAGTTTAAGGATAGTATCTTTGTCATTATTCTTGGGAATTATGGATAACAAATGATATAAGTGGTTCAAGCACAGATAAAAAAGGCCCCTTATCTATTTTAAGACAGTTCAGTTGCCCATCACACTTGAGTTCAGAAGACAAGCAGCTGGAGCAGAGTAGGGGAGAGTTTCTCTTATGCCTGTCTTCTGCTGTTTTTTCCCCCTTGTGACATATCCATTGTCAAATTTGTGCTTTTTTTCTAAGAACGTGCTTTCCTTCAATCCCACCCATATTGTAATTCATCCTAGTCTGCCTTGCTACACTGATAACTCCAATAGGTGCCCAGTCCCTGGTCCATTACTTTCTGAGTCCATCCCAGCACTCTTCTTAAGCTAAACACATCCACACATCCACACGTCCCAGAGTACTTAACCTAAATGGAAATGACTGTAATATTGGAAGTGAGTGTTGAGAAATTTCGTGTTTAGTTATCCTTATATGTAATTTTATACACTCTAGAATTTGAGAATCATTGGCTTAATAACTGTAAAATATTCGTTAGCCCTACAGTAGAATAACTTATGCTGTTTGCTGTTTTACTGATGCACAGTAAGATCGCTAGCTCTCTGAGGTGTGCATTCATTTAATTTTTATGTCTCTAGCAAAGTTTAGGGTACAAGTACATATTCAATGGGTAGAGTCTGGTTCTTACCTGTGATTGTAATCAAATGAGGCCCGTTGGACACATTGCATATATACTATGGTGTTCATTAATAGACTGTTCAGGTTTCAAAAGATACATGGCATTTTAATGGCTTCTGAGTTTAAAAAAAATGAGTAATTACATGTACTTGCTAAAGAAGAGAAAATGCTAAAAGTCAAAATGCTTTTCCTCTTTGTCACTCAGCATCTGCTTCAGTTACACTATTTTTATTCTTTGGACTTTTAGAGTGTAAAATGCATGTCAATTTTAGTTAGCTGCAATTGAGACTTTTGGTCAAGGAATGAAAACCAGAGTTTCTCCTGGCTGGTCATTTGTTCCTAAGCCTCCACTAGCCCCAAAACTGAATGTCATTCCTGATAGATTTCTATTTATTTATTTCTAAAACATTTATTTTATTATTACGTGTGTGTGGGCACATATACATTATGGCACGTGTACAAGGTTAGGGGCTAAACAAATGCAGGCATCAGTTCCCTCCTTTGGCTGTGTGGGCCCTGAAGCCTGGGCTCCAGGCACTCTTCTTAGTAGCAGGTATCTGCCTGTACCTGCTGAGCCATCTCACCAGATGGGATTCCTACTCATATATTCCAAACATCTGCAAGATGTCAAAACTTTTAGACACTGCATGGGGGGAAGGAAGTGTTGTATGGAAGCTGACCCTCCAAACATTTGACAAGCTGTTAGAACACGACATTTCCCCCACCCCCGACTACCATCTAGTAGTTTTGGCATTTGCCTTGGCATCTTGTAATGTTTTCAGTTTCTTCAGGTTCATACGTTAAAGCCTTAAGATGATCCAAATTCTCTTGATGAAACCAAAACATAGACAGTGTTACACGACTGATACTCACTTGTGCCAATTATTGGGAAGGCTGAAGCAGGAAAACTATGAGTTCCAGGGTAGCCTAGGACACATGGACAATATAGTAAACCCTTGACTCAAAACTAAATAAAAAATATATTAACAAATTTCTAGGCTCACATCCCATCTCCTAAAGTGAAGGATAAAATATTTTTTCTGATGTCTACCATATAGACTGTAGATTCAAACACAAGTTCTCCAAATGCTTAAGTTGGCATCACTCATTAACCACAACTTCAATGATCACGAAGTAAATGACTGACCAAATAGATAAAGGTTGAACTGTGTCCTGAGAAGCAGGGCTTAGGCTTCTATGAACCGAGAAGAGGAGCACATTCCAAAGGAGGTGGGACTAGTCAAGTGAACCCAGAGATGAGCAGACTCTCTCAGCACCAGGGCCACACCCTCCACTAGCCTGAGGAAATGCTTCTTCTGGACCAAGTCTTACCTCTGTTTTATTTTGGGAAATGAGGCAGAAGAGAGAAACTAAGAGGATAGATAGGGAGGAAGGGAAGAAGAGAAGGAACATTCTGGAATACTATTCATTCTAAAGGGGTAAAAAACAGTGTGTTAGCTCATAAGCCTAGTGATTTGGACAGTAAGTAAAATTAAATGAATATATTATTTATAGTGTCACTGGATTTATGATTTA